GAGAAACACATCAGGCACATAGAAGAGACACGTGAAATGATTACAGTTTGTATAACCACAGTTTAACTACAGATACCATGGTTAAACTACGGTTAGTGTAGCAAAATCATGGTTAATTTGTGGATACAATAACCATGTTTTTTTGGTTTTATTTGAAGTAAAACCATGGGTTTCCGGTAGAGAAGCGCAATGACGTGGCTTGAAGTCAGGTCATAAAGAAGTCTAGAGACTGAGCGTGTTCACACGACCATGACGGCACAAAGGGCGATAGACGCAGTTAATGATACTAAACACATATGATTAAAACCTGTTTAGCAAATATTTGCTGAGATGTGTGTGCAACAACGTTAATAGGTCGGGAAGAAGGAGACGGGCACCGGCGAACATTCAAACAAAACTTTAATAAAATAAACAAACACAAAACAAAAGTAAAGCGGCAGCCCCTCACGGACGACTGCCGCACACAAAACACAAAATAAAGTCCAGGCCCGGTCCTCTCTCGTCCGACACTGTCGTCACTCCTCCTTTTATCCTTCCGTTGAAGTAAACCTCCAGAAGCACCTCGCTGACCTCTGTGGACTTGTGTCTGGTGTTCTCCTCTGAATAATCTGCATCTGATCATGTGAGTTTAAACTGTATCTGATACACTCTGTCTGTCCAGACTGAATATATCTCGATCTATACGGACTGGCGTTTGCACAAGTGTTGCTACAGTGTGTATTCGCAACCTTTCACTCAATGCCACTCAACTATTCTGCCTTTTAAACTGAGTCTGTGACGTCATCACTCAGTGACGTGTCTTGTTGTCGTTCCAAAGTTGCAATGGAAATGGAATGTTTACCAACAGCAGCGGTAATGATAATACATAATTATGACACACAAAAACAATTAATTTACAACTGTTCAAAAGATAGTAAAGTATTATTTATAAATAAGCTACATATGCAATACAATGAATTACCAAGATAAAAGATGATCGTCTACTATAGAAACAAGCATTTGCTAAACGGTTTCATAACAAGCAATGAACTAATAAGTGATATAAGCGGTTGCATAGGCCCCCGGCGTAGGCCATCAGGGGCCCCTGTCAGGGTTCAGCCAGTTCTGCTCGGTAATACTGACTTTGATCGAGTTTCAGTCGCGTGTGTTAATGCTTGAAAAAGAAGAAGCGGCGCTATAACACTGGTGCAGACTGCAGAGAAGCGGAAAAAGAGAAAAGAAAGCGAGCAAGAAAAGGGAGAGTGATGGATTTAAAAAATATATTGTTGAAATGGCGCATGCGGCATCGTGCTATATTTTTCTGAAAGCAATGGTTAACATTTTAAATAGTTGAAAAATGTTAAAAGTGCTTGGAATACATAAATATGAAGATACATTTACTTAAGCACTTTTATATTAAATATATATATATATAATTATTATTTTTTAAATCCATCACTCACCCTTATCTTGCTCACTTTCAATATTGAAAAATAAATACTGAGTAGATTCTGATTAAGACTAATTTTTTTACACCAGGGTTATATAGTTAACTAAAAAAAAAACTATTTTAGCTAGTTGACAAGGCAACATTTTCATTTAGTTTTGTCTTGATGTTCTAAAATAGCTAAAACTGAAATAAAATGTAATAACTAGACAGACATTTAAAAACAACAAAACTAATAAAAACAAACAAAACTACTAAAACTTTACCTAAAATGAAAATTACAGCAGAAATAATTCAAAATATTAACAAAAATATAATTTCTGATTTCTTATCGTCATCTGCTGAGCGTCGGACAATATTGCACTTATGAATGATGCTGTTATGAACTTATAAATTACATTTTAAAATACTTTAAAATATTTTTTTGTGGATTACATATTTACACAATAGCAATAAATGATTCATAATTAATTGATTCTCCCTATACTCCCTCTTCATCTTTTCAATGTTCCTTCCTAAAATAGCCTACTGTTTATACACACAGAGTCTTCCAGTTTTGTGGACCTTCACACAAAGACCAGTTCATACGGTCTGTACAGTATATAAACCATTATGCCTATGGAGAGTCCCCACTTTTCACAAAAACAAACCTGTGTGAGTGTGAGTGAGTGTGTGTGATTGAGAACAAAAATGGCACACACGTGTGTCTATAACCCCGCCCCTCTTAGTTAATTAACCTCATCACTTCTCATAAATGTCATGAAGTTACTGACAGTCTGGTGTGACGTCACTGAAGATCAACAAGCCTGAAACTCAAAAGTTCAAAATCACCAAAATTCACCCAATTTGTTATTGATCTTATTGTAAACAATTCATCCATAAACACACACACACACACACATATATGTGTGTGACCCTGGAGCACAAAACCAGTCATAAGGGTCCATTTTTTAAATATTGATATTTTTTAATATAACATCTGAAAGCTGAATAAAGAATCTTTCCATTGATGTATGGTTTGTTAGGATAGGACAATATTTGAAAATCTGGAATCTGAGGGTGCAAAAAAAATCTAAATATTGAGAAAATCATCTTTAAAGTTGTTCAAATGAAGTTCTTAGCAATGCATATTACTAATCAAACATTACGTTTTGATATATTTACGGTAGGAGATTTACTAAATATCTTCAAGGAACATGATCTTTACTTAATATCCTAATGATTTTTGGCATAAAAGAGAAATGTATAATTGTGACCCATACAATGTATTGTTGGCTATTGCTACAAATATCCCCCAGCGACTCAACACTGCTTTTGTGCTGCAGGGTCTCACACTCACACACTCACACTCACACTCGCAAAATTCTTACTAGTATTCTTACTCTAGCCACTAGTATTTCCACCAAAAAAATGTTTTTAAGTAAGTTATTTCTATCTTTTGGTGTAGTGTGTCAGTAGGAAATATCAGTTCACATTTCCAAACATTCATTTAGTCATTAATTGTAATAATGCAGTGAGACTTTAGTCTGACAGCGGCCAGTGCTCCACAGAGATCTAATCTGATCATCATTATCCTAATGATTTTTGGCATAAAAGAGAAATGTATAATTGTGACCCATACAATGTATTGTTGGCTATTGCTACAAATATCCCCCAGCGACTTAACACTGCTTTTGTGCTGCAGGGTCTCACACTCACACACTCACACACTCACACTCGCAAAATTCTTACTAGTATTCTTACTAGCCACTAGTATTTCCACCAACAAAAAATGTTTTTAAGTAAGTTATTTCTATCTTTTGGTGTAGTGTGTCAGTAGGAAATATCAGTTCACATTTCCAAACATTCATTTATGCATATTACTAATCAAACATTACGTTTTGATATATTTACGGTAGGAGATTTACTAAATATCTTCAAGGAACATGATCTTTACTTAATATCCTAATGATTTTTGGCATAAAAGAGAAATGTATAATTGTGACCCATACAATGTATTGTTGGCTATTGCTACAAATATCCCCCAGCGACTTAACACTGCTTTTGTGCTGCAGGGTCTCACACTCACACTCACACACTCACACTCGCAAAATTCTTACTAGTATTCTTACTAGCCACTAGTATTTCCACCAACAAAAAATGTTTTTAAGTAAGTTATTTCTATCTTTTGGTGTAGTGTGTCAGTAGGAAATATCAGTTCACATTTCCAAACATTCATTTAGTCATTAATTGTAATAATGCAGTGAGACTTTAGTCTGACAGCGGCCAGTGCTCCACAGAGATCTAATCTGATCATCATCAGTCCATCTGAGAATACATGAAGAAACAGAGACAGACTCAATCCAGAAGAACTGTGGCAGACCCGTGCTCATTTTCAGCGGTCAAAAACCAAATGTGCATCACTTTTGATGTGGGTTTTAACAATATACTCCTGGAGCCATATTACATCCCAGTATCTCTGGAACTGAACCATACAGGGCCTTAAAAATGAAGATGCCGAAAGAAAAGTTTTTAACAAACTAACATCTAAAAGGATATTAAGATATCTGGCTCTGTATCTGTTGTCTTACCTGGGAACAGCAGCACTGTTTACTGAAGCAGGAGGGAAAGGTCAATAAAACTCAACAACGTTTTAGGAGGAAATACAGTTTTATGTTTGTTCAGCATTGTGCAATATTTGTTCCTGCAGTGACACAGTTCAACTTTACATATGATACACATCATATTAATGTGATTTCATTCAATCGGTATCAAATGTTGTTTAATGATCAATTAACGTCTCAATTTAAAGTAATGATTCTGGGATAATTCTGAAGAATCTGCTTTTAGAAGTCATAATCCAGTAAATGACACCAGCTTCTGTTTCCAATATTTATTTTCCAAAAGACAACAAATAATTTAAAAGCAGTTTGTACAAAGCTCGAGTACAAAAGCTAATTCAGGACGAATGCTCTTAAAAACATCTGAGATTCGATTATTCTATAAAATCAAGTAAAAATACTCTTTTCATCAAACTTTAAGGTTGATTTGTGTTGAAGGAGTGAAAGTGTGACCTCAGATCAGTCACAATCTGCTCATATGTAACATCTCAGGTTTAATTTACAGAGAAACACACACACACAGACACACACACAGACACACACACACACACACACACGCGCTCACACTCACGCACTCACACGCACTCACACACACACACACACACACTCACACGCTCGCACTCACAAGCACGCACGCACGCGCACGCACGCACACGCACACACACACACACACTCACACACACCGACACACACCGACACACACTCACAGACAGAGAGAGTTCACATAAGCTTCAAGGGTCAACAAACGACACCATGATGTATCGTGTTCCTCGAGTGACGGGAAGCCCCTCGTGATAGTGCGTCAGACGGCCCGGATGCATGAACGCTCTCCCACACAGACGCACACACTCCCACACACACACACACACACACACACACACTCACGCACACTCACGCACTCACACGCACTCACACACACACACACACACACTCACACGCTCGCACTCACAAGCACGCACGCACGCGCACGCACGCACACGCACACACACACACACACTCACACACACCGACACACACCGACACACACTCACAGACAGAGAGAGTTCACATAAGCTTCAAGGGTCAACAAACGACACCATGATGTATCGTGTTCCTCGAGTGACGGGAAGCCCCTCGTGATAGTGCGTCAGACGGCCCGGATGCATGAACGACCAGCCCTTCCTGGGAGACTCGACCGTACAGTCGTAACGCAGGAACCGACAGCCTCCGCCCTGATACACACACACACGTACACAAACACACACAGAGAGACAGAGACACACACACACACACACAGAGAGACAGAGACACACGCGCACACACACACACACACACAGAGACAGAGACACACGCGCACACACACACACAGAGAGACAGAGACACACACACACACACACAGAGAGACAGAGACACACACACACAAACACACACACAGAGACAGAGACACACAAACACACACAGAGAGAGACACACACACAGACACACACACACAGAGAGACAGAGACACACACACACACACACACAGACACACACCCACACACAGAGAGAGAGACACACACACACACACACACACACACACACACACACACACACACACACACAGACAGAGAGAGAGAGAGACGAGTGTATTATGTGTTTATGGGTAGAAACACTAATTAACACAAAGACAATGGAAAGTCTATTTACCTCATAATCAATGTTTTTTCTGTTGAGCGCGATGTTAATGGTGAACGTGGAGGAATCATGATGCGGACGGAGCGACGGCTGCTCATCAGGACGATAACGAACCACAAAATTCATCACAGCCTGAGCCTGTAACACACACACACACACACGTTTGTGTCACTCAGTTATTTTACACTCATTTACACTAGTGTTCAGTAGTTTGGGATAAATAGGATTTCATGTTTTTTAAAGAAGTCTCTCCTGCTCAGCAAGGCTGCATTTATTTGGTCAAAAATACAGTGAAATATTATTATAATGTAAAACAGCTGTTTTCTGTGTGAATCTGTGTTAAACTGTAATGTATTTCTGTGATGCGCAGCTGTATTTTCAGCATCATTACTCCAGTCTTCAGTGTCACATGATCTTCAGAAATCAGTATAATATGCTGATCTGCTGCTCGAGAAACATTTCTGATTATTATCAATGTTGAACACAGTCGTG